TTACACAGGTTCTGAGGCTAATTAATTGCAGATAGGGTACTCAGCGAGTTTAGTTACCACCTTAATCAGCCGCAGAACCTGTGTAATTATTATGTCTTCAGTTGTAAAGGGATGAGGTGGCAACCCTACTTCCCCCTTAATACTAAAACTACCCCATTTTATTTTATTTTTTTCTTTTACTCCTTGAGTCCTTCTGCTTGACTGTCATCTCTCCAAACGATGGAGGTGATTTATTCTTCCAAAGCAAATACACTTTTGTACACTGGTACTGACTAGTATTCCAATGTTTCTCTTCTTCCTCAGTTTTTCTCCATCACTGAGCTACTGTGACCCCAGCACTGATGGAGAGGTGCAGGGGAGGGTCAAACTAGGATGCTATGCAGGCAACCGACATCCTCCTTATCAACTGATAATGTCATTGGTTGTCAGAATGCCAGCGGCTAGAAGGTCGCAATGGTGCACAATGAAAACTTGTGGCTTTGTGTAACGAAATGGCAGGCTTGTTCCACCCGCTGGCTTGTATACAAGTTTTGGGCAATTTTTAGACATTTTGCCAAGGCACCCCTAAAGAAACCTCAAGGCACCCCAGAGTGCCTGGACACCCTGGTTGAAAAAGGCTGTTCTAGAGTATTGAGGGCCTCCTGCATTATGGTTGTTACCACAGACCTGTATGTGTAACCTTATGTTTGTACCTTGTACGAAGAATTCTATAAATAAAAAAAATGTAGAAAGTGGTTACAGCCTTTTGTCTTTATATCAATAGGTTCCAGTCCATCACTAACACTTACCCAGAGTAAAGTGTGGTTCACGTGTAAATGTTGTATGCTACGTAACTCCATTCTCTTCACTGCAGAACAGAGGATGGGTAATGTATGAACAAACTACCTATCCACGAATAGGCAGATGGTTTATTGTCCTAGGATCCAGGACCTAGGCTTTATCATTTCAATTTTGAAGTGTTACGGAAACATCCACACAAATGAAAACAGAATATTCACTACCTGACATGGTTTGAGGCATCTTGTTGAAAAGTGTATCTGTAGTCTTGATTGGCTGCTGGACAAACAATAAACACCAGGGATTAAAATGAGACAGATATAAAGACCAAAGAGCCAGGTTGTGTAATTCTCAGCAACAAGTTCGCATTCATTCTCCCCATCACTCCACACCACTGGTGTTCCAAAAAACAGGGTGTGGGTTTTTTTTTTTTTTTTTTTTAGAGAGAGGGTTATGTGCAAATGAACTGTCCCACAGTTTAAAGTAAAACATTGTGTTTAAAAAAGGTAAAACGTCATTTTTACTCTTGTTTGAATGCCCAGTTCAAGGATGAGTGAACAGAGAAGCTACTACAAATCCACATTTAATCAAAAGATTACAGCACTGGAACTGAAACATGAGAAACATCTTAGTACTTCTTAATTCCTCGTGCACATGGGACATTTAAATAACGCTGGGTAACGTTAGCTCTGTAAAGTTTCAGCTTTTTTTTTAGCGTTTTTTTTACATTAGCGTTTAGCAGTGTTTTGCCATGTTTAATGGCGTTTTCCCACATTTGCGGTTTTTGGGTTTTTTTTTACAAAAAAAACTTTTTTTTTGGTCAAAAAAGTCCAAAAACGCTGGTTTACCGCGCTTTGCCACATTTTTCAACATTAGAGCGTCTTTACAGGTAAAAAACTCCTCTAGAAAACCCACTAGTCCTGAGTTTTTTCCAGTCTATGTGTGCATGGACACATAGGATAACATGCGGGGGGGGGGGGGGGGGGGGGGGGTTACTAGCTGAAGGAAAAAAACAAACACAGCAGCTGTAAAAATGTCAAGTGTGCATTAGGACTTAAACATCAGGATTTCTATGTCTGAGAGGCAGCAGGGAGATTGTTCCATCATCACAAACAGCTGTAGTCCAGGATCACAAGATTACAGACAGAAAGTGCTTGGGTGGACTGGTGCAGTATTACAATGTCTAGATGAAAACCTGAACTAATAAGTAGGTAGGCTGTGCTCTCTAAATGCATGTTAATGTTTAATTTTTAAAGGGGTGTACATTTAAAGTGGTTGTAAAGGCTGAAGGTTTTTACCTTCATGCATTCTATGCATGAAGGTAAAATACCTTCTGTGTGCAGTAGCCCCCCCAATACTCACCTAAGCCCCCTCTCAATCCAGTGATGTGCACTGGAGTCTCTGCTATCCTGGGACTCCTTCATTGGCTGAGACAGCAGTGGGAGCCATTGGCTGTCAAGCACAGCAAGTGATCCAATGAGAAGAGAGAGAGAGAGCGGGGGGCCGAGCTGAGCCAATGGCTATGTGTGTGAATGGACACAATGAGCAGTGGGTGCCCCCAGAGCAAGCTCCTTGCTCTGGGGGCACCCAACAGAAGGGAGGAGCCAGGAGAGCCTGCGGGGGACCCGAGAAGAGGAGGATCTAGGCTGTTCTGTGCGAAACCACTGCACGCAGCAGATCAGTATAACATATATTTTTTTTAATTTATACCTTTAGAATCACTTTAAAATGGTACTGAACCATAACCAAAAATTTTATATATTGCAGCTTACCAATCATTGGATGTGGTGGCTGCATTAGTTTTCTTTTTTTCAAGGCTTTTTTCCCCTCTATTTTCACCTGGTGATCTTGCCAGTAACACACCTCCTGTATTAGAGTGCCTACACACTGATTGAAGGAGTAACTGAGAAATCTTTGGACAGTAGCATTGTCAATTTGGGTGGAGGGGCGTGTTAGATGTACTAGCAAATTTAGATAAACTAACAAATTGAAGCTAAACTCCAGCTAACACTTTTTACGCAGTTGCAGCAATATTGTTTTTCTTTTCGGACAGAGGTTTTACATGAATAAATAAAAGCTGACTGTTGTAAGCATCTTTGTCAGTGGTAAATGGTATGTCTCATCCCTCTAACTGCTGCTTCTGCAGGACAGCTTATTCTGTTGAGAGATAACAAACTTACTGGCAGGATCACCAGGTAAAAATAAAGGGAAGAAAGCCTGAAAAAGAAAATGAATGCAGCTATTGGTAGCCTGCAGTATAATACATGTTTGCTTTTGGGGGTAAGCCTAGGTTCACACTTGCCCGCATGTGAGCGAGAGGTTGCGGGTGCAGGAATCACAGGTGTTCCCACACCCTCAACCACCCACGGCCAAATCACGCTGCTCTGTAGAGATGTTCAGGGCTGCCATTCATTCTTATTAACATGCCCTCACGCATCTCAACTCAAGCGTGTTTTCAACTGTGGGAACCGTAAGGAAATTGTATGCTCAAAAGCACCATGCGATTTCCCTGCAGCTGCGATTTGAAAAAGGTGCTTACACCTGTTTTTCTGCAGGAAACCTGGGCACAGCAGCCATTCAAATTAATGGGCCATCATGCTTGCGCAATCACGGGCTACACAACCCACACAAATGTAAACCAAGGCTTATTCCATTATATGCTTAATAAACAGGAGGCCAATTGCCGGATAAGCCATTTTAGATGATCTTTTACTCTTTTATTAATATAAATATAATATTCTAGTTTTTTCCAGCTGTTTGACATCTGAACATCTATCTCTCTAGCACAGCGGATATAAGCAGCAATTTCAGCATGAGTTTTCAGCAGGTGTTTTTCCTCAGTGCTTGTTAAATCTCAAACAATGAACACTTTAGGTAGCTACAGCACCCAAGAGCAGCTAATTGTGATCTATTATTTGCTGTGAGTTGCCTAAGCCTGGGTTCACATATGTGCAGTCCAGTATATCGCATGTGATTCGCACAGGAACCGCACCGCATTCCTGTACGAATCACATGCAATTTGTGTGCGGTGTGATTGGAGCCATACATTTTGTGCAGGACCCTTTTTTTGGTCTGCACTAGAATCGGATCGCATGGGTATTCACACCTATGCAATCCGATTCTGCAGATCGCACTGCGTATTGTGGACCGCTTTCAGGGTGTTCTTACCTTAACATACACACCCGCAGCGGTTTGCATGAACGTGGTGCGATTCTGATGCGGTGCGGAATTCGCACTGAAAACGCTGCAAATTCAGCACTGCATCGGTGTAAACCAGGGCTAAGCTCAATTTGAGCCAAAACGTTTTTTTTAAAGGTATGTACGAGTCAAAACCTCTACCACATTTTGTTTATTGCTATCTGTGTCCTCACTTGGGAGATTTCTCATCACGACTCGTGCTTGTTACTCTGATTGTGTTGTGGCAAACCATTGCCTAGCCATACTGGAGGAAGGTACGTTGTAGACAATGTGCAAACATTAATGATCCAAATAATGAGGAAGAGACCAATGCAAAATTTATGAATCTACAATCTAACTATGGGGTAAATCTTAGGCATAGCGGATTTGTAGATTTCTGTTCATCTCTCTCTAACAGCAACATTAGAATGATACATAATTAGTAAGGTAGATCAAGATAAATAAATACGTGTAATATTAATATATATTCAGTTATAGTACTTATGATACTCCATGTAAGCTGAACAAATTGAAAATTTAGGAGCAATATACAGTATCTCAGATTCTATACATCGTTTGACACTATGGCCGCTTCCTTGACTGGCGTATATTTTCCAGCAGCATCTGTGGATATCTGCTGAAATATTATTTTGTTGGTTTTATATGGTTGATTAAATTATTTCACAAATTTCTCCCATTTCAGCTTTGAATACTAATAATTCTCATATGTTAGATTATGTCCTTTGGTCATGGGGTAGACTGATAGAATGCAGTGAATGTTGCTAGCTTTTCAAACTTGTTCACACTGGACGCATTACCATAAACTTTACTACACTTTACAACATAGGCAACATACAATATTTCCCAGAAGTGAGTACACCCCTCACATTTTTGTCAATATTTTATTATATCTTTACATGTGACAACACTGAAGAAATGACACTTTGATACAATGTAAAGTAGTGAGTGTACAGCTTGTATAACAGTGTCAATTTGAGATGTCCCCTCAAAATAACTCAACACACAGCCAGGAGCGGACTGACAACTCATGGGGCCCCGGGCAATAGGGGATCATGGGGCCCCTGTGTCCTTGCCCAAACTCAAAAAAGCCTATGAAAAAGGTACCAGGGGCATCTCATGGGGCCCCTTACTGACCCCGGGCCCTCGGGCAGTGCCCGAGTTTCCAAATGGTCACTCCGCCCCTGCACACAGCCATTAATGTCTAAACCGCTGGCAACAAAAGTGAGTACACCCCTAAGTGAAGATGTCAAAATTGTGCCTAAAGTGTCAATATTTGTGTGGCCACCATTATTTTCCTGCACTGCCTTAACCCTCTTGGGCATGGAGTTCACCAGAGCTTCACAAGTTGCCACTGGAGTCCTCTTCCACTCCTTCATGACGACATCATGGAGCTGGTGGATGTTGCATTCCTCCACCTTCCATTTGAGGATGCCCCACAGATGCTCAATAGGGTTTAGGTCTGGAGACATGCTTGGCCAGTCCATCACCTTTACCTCAGCTTCTTTAGCAAGGCAGTGGTTGTCTTGGAGGTGTGTTTGGGGCAGGGGCGGACTGACAACTCATGGGACCCCCGGGCAATAGGGGATCATGGGGCCCCTGTGTCCTTGCCTAAACTCAAAAAAGCCTATGAAAAAGGTACCAGGGGCATCTCATGGGACCCCTACTGACCCCGGGCCCTTGGGCAGTGCCCGAGTTTCCAAATGGTCAGTCCACCTTTGGTTAGGGGTCATTATCATGTTGGAATACTGTCCTGTGGCCCAGTCTCCGAATGGAGGGGATCATGCTCTGCTTCAGTATGTCACAGTACATGTTGGCAATCATGGTTCCCTCAATGAGTGTACCTGGTCCTACTAGACACATAACTAGTATCATTTTGTCACACTGAAGGTGACCGTTCAGCAGGGACCAGATGAATTTCAATCCATGTATGGCCACGCTAGTTTTACTGAAGTCGATCTACTGATGGACTTCTGTATAGCCAGCCTGCTGGGTTTTTCCTGAACAATCAGTGCTGCCGGTTATAATTGTAAACACTGATCAGACGGTAAGGAAAGTTCCCCGCTGTCAGAATACAATAAGCAGGAATGATTCTCCCATTCACATCAAGTGTGTGGATGGGGGAATTGGTAAAAAAAAAAAGATGCATGGCCAGCTGAAGGCATTTGAGTGTGTTCCATGTGGAAGGTTAGCTGTTAACCTGCATTTTGTCAGTCAAGTCAACAAAATTCCCAGTTGTGCCCCTTAAAGGGGAAGTACAATAGGACCTATTATAATACATGGGTCAAATCTCTCAGGTGAAAGCAAAATCTGTCAGGTGGTGAAACACTCAGAAATCAAGGGATCCAAGTCACTGATTAGCATTTGTTATCCTTTTTATGGACTTACTTTACGGACTGTGCAATTCCTGCTTTTTTGGCACATTTTCAATATATTATTCACACTTGGTGGATTATTTGATTTTATTTGTTGTGTTTATGCACTATTTTTAGTATAGATTGTGATATCATGGATAATTTCCAGCATGCAGGATATTTATGTATATTTTTTTTTAGCATGTGTAATATACTTTTTTTATGAGTGATACTGTTTAAAGCTTGGTAATCCAAGCACATTTTGTAAGGTTTGAATTGTGTAAGATGTTGCGTGGCAGTATATAATAATTGTACTTATTCAAGACAATGGGCAGTGCTGCAACTGCGAGCCAAACGAGGTTGAGGTGTATTAGTCACATTGCAGATTAGAACAGGTATTCAGGAGATTGCTTAGCCGCACTCTGAGAAGTTATCCACTGGGCATGGATCACTTTTCAGAGAATTGGTTAATGTGAACTTAGTGTGAATTAGGTGTTATTTGCCTGTTCTGCGATGAACCAAATGTGTCTCCATAAAATCTGCTCAGACTGTAATATTATTTTGTAAGCATTCTCAGTGGTAAGTCACCTTTTTCACAATCCTTAAACACAAGCTTTAGCACATACCATACTTTTATCTAGTGATGCTGCATCCTCATGTAAACTTACAGAACCTTTAGGTGATGACTGAGATCTCTTCTGTGAATATTGTTACAAATGCAGCATGTGAAGTTTAGTTTAAAGTGTCTTATTGAGGGACAAGCTTATAACAGAAAGGAGATGAAAGAGGGGAGGAGGTGGCGTAACTGGAGACGCACAAGGCAAAAATAAAGCATCATAAACAACTTAAAGCAGTTCTGTAAAGCCAGGTACCTGCTCCCTCCCCCCCAAAAAAAAGCTATAGAGGAGGTGGGGAGGAGGAAGACACATGGAACTTCCCTTTTTGGGTGATGTTTCCCTTTAATGTAGATCAATTTCACAGTTACAGTTGTTCTCAAAAAGTATGCATACCCTGGCATAAATCATGAAATTTTGGCATTTATATTGAATGAATATGTGACTGACCATGCCAAAAAACTGTCTTTTATTTAAGGATAGTGATCACATGAAGCCATTTATTATCAAATGAAGCCATTTATTTTCACATAGTTTGACTTTTTAACCATTTCAATACTGGGCAATTTACACCTTCCTGCCCAGGCCATTTTTCACGTTTCAGCGCTCTCACACTTTGAATGACAATTGCGCGGTCATACAACATTGTACCCAAACTAAAATTTTATCATTTTCTTCACACAACTAGAGCTTTCTTTTGGTGGTATTTAATCACCACTGGGGTTTTTATTTTTTGCTAAATTAACAAAAAAAAAGACCAAAAATTTTGAAAAAAAACACGTTTTTCTTTTTTTCTGTTATAAAAGTTTACAAATAAATAATTGTTCTTCATAAATTTAGGCCGAGATGTATTCTACTATGTCTTGGGTGAAAATAACCCAAATTGGGATGTATTATTTAGTTTGTAGGAAAGTTATAGAGTTTACAAACTATGGTATAGATCTGAAAATTGATCAATCCTGAAGTACTGACAGCCAATCTAATTTCTTGAGGTCCAAGAATGTCAGAACAGTACAGATATCCCCCAAATGACCCCTTTTTGCAGAGTAGACAGTCCGACGTACTTTATAAAAGGAATGGCGAGTTTTTTTTGAAGTTGTATTTTTTTTGTCATAATTTTTCGGAAAATAAAAAAATTAAAAAAATTATTTTCACTATTTTTTTTTTTACATACTGTCACCAGTGCAGTACAGTGTCATCATATAACTGGCATGGCGGTGAACAGGGACACTGACTGGTGACAGTATGAAAAAAAAATATATAGATTTTTTTTTAATTTTTTTAATTTTTTTTATTATTTTTAATTTTTTATTACTTTTTTATTTTTTTTTTTTTTTAAGATTTTTTTTTCATATTGTACTATGACCAAAGTAGTACAATGTTATCATAGTAGCATTGTACTACTTTGGGGAAGTGATCAGTATTTTTTTTTTTTTTTTTTTACACTATTTGCTTATAGCAAAGAATTACTTTGCTATAAGCAAGCATTTACCTGAATGAAATCGATTCATTCAGGTTTTTTTTTTTTGTGCTTAGCTGTGATTTGGTCACAGCTAATCACATGACATGTGCATGTGATTAGCTGTGACCATTCACAGCTAGGCAGTAGTATACAATGGATGGCATGAATGAAGCCATCCATTGTATACAACTGTCATGTGACCTGCTGTGATTGGTCACAGCAGGTCACATGGTACCAGCAACGGGGGCCAGTACTCAGATCTGTCATCGGCCGTGTCCGAGGTACACGGCGGGTAACAGATCGCGCCGCTGCGAGGCTCTGCATTACCGCAAACTGCGCATGTGCGGGTGCACGCCAAATGGCGTGCACCAGGAATGCCGCAGCACTTCTGAAGCCGCCAAACGGCCATTGGCCGGGCGGCTAATGGTTAAATCATAATGATAACAGAAATCACCCAAACAGCCCTGATCAAACGTTTATATACCCTGGAATGTTTGGCCTGTGTAAAGACACGCAAGGTGACACACACAGGTTAAAATGGCAATCAAAGTTTGATTTCCCACATCTGTGACATTTTAAATTGCAATTAGTTTATAAATAGTCAGTGAGTTTGTTAGCTCTCACGTGGATGTACTGAGCAGCTTAGATATAATGAGCCATGGGGAGCAGAAAAGAACTGTCAAAAGACCTGCATAACAAAGTAATGGAACTTTATAAAGATTGAAAAGGCTATAAAAAGCTTTTCCCAGCCTTGAGTATGCTAGGCAGTACTGTTCAATCACTTATTAAGAAGTGGAAAATTCAGGTATTTCTTGATATCAAGCCAAGGTCAGGCAGACCAAGAAAGTTTGCAGCCACAACAGCCAGAAGAATTGTTCAAGATACAAAGAAAAACCCACAGGTAACCTCAGGAGAAATACAGTGTGTTTTTTTTTTAAATAGCACAATATGACAATACTTGAACAAAAATGAGCTGCATGGTTGAGTTGTCAGAAAGACACCTTCACAGTGCTTTCTTTTTTGCTCCCCATGGATCAGTATCTAGTCTGCTCAGTGCATCCACAGAAGAGCTAACAAACTCACTGACTATTTATACACAGACACTATGCATTTTAAAAAGCCCTAGATGTGGGAAATTAACCTTTAATTGCCATTTTAACCTGTGTGTGTCTTCTTGTGTGTCTGTGCCAAACATTCCAGGGTAAGTAAACTTTTGATCAGGGCCATTTGATTTAAAAAGGAGCCAAACAACTATGTGATAATATATGGCTTCATATGATCACCATCATTAAATAAAAGACAGTTTTTTGGCATAATATTAAAAAAATATATATAAAGGCAGACAATTTTGAGAAAAAAAAACAATATTTTTGACTTTTTGCTATTAAACATGTCCAGTAAAAAAAAATAAAAAAAATCAAATTCCGTCATAAATTTAGGTCAAAATGTACTCTGCTACACGTCTTTGCCAAAATAAATCCCAATACATGTAAATTAATTGGTTTACGTGAAAGTTATAGCGTTTACAAATGGCGGTATATATACTGGGATTTTCTTTTTTAACTAGTAATGGCGGCGATCAGCAACTTATAGCAGGACTGCGGGACTGTGGCGGGCATTCTGACACTGGGGGGAACTGACTTGGTGTCACTGACATCCCCAGTGACACCAATTCAGTGATCAGTGCTAAAAAAAAAAAGCAATGACACTGTACTAATGGCACTGGGCAGGAAGGGGTTAACATGAGGGTCGATCAAAGGGTTAACTGTGTGCTGTTTACTATAAGCTATTGTGTGCTGTTTCACTATGTGCTGTGTCTGTGTGCTTCACTGTAAGCACACTGCTTTGCATGGCTGTGCTGTGCACAGCTATGCTAAGCAGTGTGCACAAGTTGACAGGGAGAACTGTTTTGTTTACAAACAGTGCTTCTTCTCTGTTGGAGATGCTTAGCAATCACCGGGCACCGGCGAGTAATCACCGATTCCAGTAATTGACAGACGCGACCGTGAATGGTGGCGCAGGTAGGGCATGCGCACACCAACTACCTGGCAATGCAAAATCATGTATATATATGTGGTTTTGCGCACCCGTGCTGTATTTCTGCTACGGGGAGGTTGGGAAGCGGTTAATGATCTTATAAACTTAAAAAATGTAAAATAAAATAGACACGATATTTAAACTTTAAAGTTGAACCAAGGATAAAAAATGTTATTGAAATATATCCCTCAATAGCCACAAAGGATATTAATGCACATTGTGCACACCAAATGCCTTTGCAATTGCAGACATTACCTTGCAATGACAGCAGTGACACTGAGCTGCACATGCAGGGAGCAGCGCTGTGGGGGTGATCAAGCAAGCTCCACCCACAACAGGTCGCCTGCAGATAAATACAGGGGTGGGCAGAGATAAGACCAATCATTCTGCTCAAGGA